CAGGGATACCCCATCACTAGATTCACACTGAAGAAAGAGCTGTAGGTCGTCAATCCACACGTCAAAGTCAACTGCACGCCCCTCAGCATCAAAGGTGAGAACAGTAGGGCTAGCCATAGTAGCAGTAGCAGCAGTAGCAGCACTGGCAGCAGAAGCAGTGCAAGCAGAAGGGCAGTGCGGCTCGGCAGGGCGGCGTGGCTCGGTAGTGCGGCGCGGCTTGGCTGGGCGGCGCGGCTCGACAGGGCGGCGCGGCTCGGTTCCTGGCGGCGCGGCGCGGCGCGGCAGGGCGGCGCGGGTGCTTACCAGGGGCGGGTGCAGGGCAGGGCCGCAGCTGGCAGTTTAGGTCAGGGCCGCGACTGGGGCGGCAGCAGGGCAGGGCCGCGACATGGGGCGGCTGCAGGGAAGAGCCGCGACTAAGGCGGCAGTAGGGCAGGGCCGCGACAGGGCGGCTGCAGGGCAGAGGCCGCGACTGGGGCGGCATTAGGGCAGGGCCGTAACAGACGGATAAGGCAGGGCCGCGAATGGGGCGGTAGCAGGACAGGGCCGCGACAGGGCCGGCTGCAGGGCAGGGCCGCGACTGGGGCGGCAGCAGTGCAGGGCCGCGACAGGGCGGCTGCAGGGCAGAGGCCGCGACAGGGCGGCTGCAGGGCAGAGGTCGCGATGGGCGGCGAAGGCAGAGCCGCGACTGGGATGGGCCAGCGACGGGCGGCGACGGGCCGGCGACGGGCGGCAACGGGCCGCGACGGGCCAGCAACAGGCCGGGACGGGCCGGGTCGGGCCGGGACTGGCCAGCGACGGGCGGCGAAAGGCAGGACAGGGCCGCAGTGGGCGGCTAAGGCAGGGCCGCGACGCGTGGCGACGGGCCAGCGACGGGCGGCGACGGGCGGCTAAGGCAGGGCCGCGACGGGCCGTACTAGGGCAGGGCGCAAGGCGCGCTTCGGGCAGGGCAGGAAAAAAAATTCGTGGTGGGCCCTAAAAAAAAAAACGTTCCCACTAGGGAACCTGCTCAGAATACCATGTCAGAATAGTGAACGAATGAATGACTGAACTAGCAAGCAGGTGGGTACAAGTAGGAAACCTAAAAGTGTTGTACCCTACATGAACTACCCCACTACAGCCTAGATAGACTATAGCATATAAGTTTGACACTGCTGCGTCTGCTCTCGTTGCTGAGCTGCTTGACTTTGCTGCTACTTGTCGTCTAGACTACGCCACTGCTCTTGTTGCTGAGTCTGCGTCTACCAGTCCTCCGTCCGTCGGGGGTGAGTGTGCTCTTGGCACGGACGTCCTTGAGGACAGGCAGGAGGACTTTGAGTCTCTTGCAGTTGCTGTACCTCGTTTCGCTTCCATGCTGCTTGCCTCTGATGGAAAACCGGATGCTCCAGACATCCCGACCCCGCGCTCTTACGTAGAGGCGATTCCGGGTCCTTACTCCTCTCAGTGGCAGGCAGCCATGGATGCCGAGATGGCATCCTGGAAGTCCACGGGCACCTACGTCGACGAGGTTCCCCCACCTGTGGCGAACATAGTCGATGGCAAGTGGATTTTCAGGGTGAAGCGGCCGCCGGGTTCTCCGCCTGCCTTCAAGGCACGTTACGTTGCTAGAGGCTTCAGTCAGCGACAGGGAGTTGACTACTTCCAGACCTTCTCCCCCACCCCGAAGATGACTACTCTTCGGGTGCTGCACGTCGCTGCTCAGCGTGACTACGAGTTGCACTCTCTGGACTTCAGCACAGCTTTCCTGCAGGGCAGCCTGCACGAGGAGATCTGGTTGCGCCGCCCACCTAGTTTCACTGAGTCTTTTCCTGCAGGTACTCAGTGGAGTCTTCGGCGGCCAGTCTACGGTCTCCGTCAGGTGCCTCGCGAGTGGCACGACACACTGAGGACTACACTTGCGGCTCTTGGGTTTGCTCCTGCTACTGCTGACCCATCGCTGTTTCTACGCACCGACACCTCGCTGCCGCCTTTCTACGTCCTTGTCTACGTCGACGACCTTTTTTTTCCACTGCTGACATTGAGACACTGACCCTTGTGAAGTCGGAGCTGCAAAAGAGACACACCTGCACTGACCTGGGTGAACTGCGCAGCTATCTTGGCTTGCAGATCACCCGGGACAGAGCTCGGCGCACCATTACCCTGACCCAGTCACACATGGTGCACCAGGTCCTTCAGCGCTTCGGCTTCCAGTTCTCCTCGCCACAGCCCACTCCACTGTCTACCAGCCACTCGCTCTCAGCTCCACCTTCGGACGAGTCCGTAGAGCCGAGTGGTCCGTACCCAGAGCTTGTGGGTTGCCTCATGTACCTGATGACGTGCACTCGACCCGACCTCGCGTACCCTCTCAGCCTCCTGGCTCGCTACGTGGCTCCCGGCAGGCATCGAAAGGTGCACTGGGATGGTGCGAAGAGGGTACTGCGTTACTTGTGTAGTACGTCGGGCATGGGGCTCGTGCTTGGAGGACGGGGTCCAATTGTCCTCTCCGGTCACGCAGACGCTTCTTGTGTTGACGACTCAGCTACGCAGCGGTCGTCACAGGGTTACACCTTCAGCCTTGGCTCCGGCTCTGTCTCCTAGCGGTCTATTTGCTCGTCTTCGGTTCTCAGCTCCAGTTGTGAGGCTGAGATCTACGCAGGAGCCATGGCTGCACAGGAGCTACGCTGGCTTACCTACCTGCTGACTGACTTGGGAGAGCAGCCTCGTTCGCCTCCAGTTCTGTACGTAGACAACAAGGCCATGATTGCCTTGTGTCCGGAGCACAGAACGAAGCACATCGCTCTGCGATACTTCCTTGCTCGAGAGTTGCAGCAGCGTGGCTAGCTTCGCCTTGCGTACGTGGCCACTCGGGCCAACACTGCTGATGTCTTCACTTAGGCACTTCCGCCTAGTGATCATCAGTGTTTTGTTACTGTGTTAGGCCTTGTGCCTACTTTGCCTCACTTGCTTACTGCGTGACTTTGCTTGTACTGTGATCTATATATATATCTGCATGCTTGCACTTGCTAGGGTATGATCACTGTATTGTTTGTTTACCTTTTATATATAACACTGCATGTGAACTGGCCTTGTGGCCCTTTGCTTGTGCTCAGACTGTGTGGTGACTTTGTGATCCACCCTGAGCTTGCTTTGCTTTTCTTGACTGGTCTTGTGACCACTTGTTCTCCCCCACTTTGCCTATGGGGTGTGTCAGAACATTATACCTTGTACATTTGTGTAGGCTATAGTGGGGTAGCCCATAAGGGGTACAACCCAATTAGGGTTAATACTTGTACCCAACTGTTTGCTAGTCCATTCATTCTCGTTCGTTATTTTGACAGTCGTAGGTTTTGAATACCAAATGTTACGAGTGCAATTGAGCGAGCGAGCAAGAATTGCATTATCGAAACACAACAGTATAATGAGCGAAGGCACGAGCGAACAATATATAGCGAAGCTAGCGTGATAACGGTAACACGGGAAAATGTAGTGCGCTACAGGCCTAGCGCCGAGGTTGGGAAATGTCGAGGTGGAGGTCCGGAGCGCGGGTTACCAACCGAACCATGAGGTTGGGTCGCGTCGTGAACAGTGGCGGGAATAGTGGTCGAGGCGAGGGTCGCGAGCGGGTGACGTTTCACTGTGGGGTGCTGTTGGCGGGAATAGTCGTGTACGCGGTAAGCAGGGGCGCGAAGTAAGGAAAAGGAATTTTCGCTATTCCGCGCATTGAAGTCAACTAGGTTTCGATTACTAGCCAACTCGGCCGACCTCGAGCGATCTGACCGAACCAGCCCAGGGACTGAAGGAATCTCAATCCATCTCTTACAGGTAGAATCCCTAGTCTCGTAACGTCTTCTCCCTCGACTTACACAAAGGTAAGCGCTGAGATCTAGGCGGCATCACGCGCGCGCTGCGGTGACGAGCTCACGCCTAACTCGCTGCTGCACCTTGGGCCTTGACGCCTGGGGCCTTGACGCGTTCACCGGCACCAGGCGCGCTAGTGGTGCCGCCGTCACGCTTTCTGGCGCCAGGCGCGCTCCTGGCGGGCTGCGTCTCACTCGCTGCCGTTTCATTCGCTGCCGCCTCACTCGTTGCTGCCTCATTCTGTCACGCCCCCCACTTGCTCCATCCAGGCGTTCCGCAATCTCCTCTTTCACCGAACGGCAACGGCAACGACGCGCGCGAGTACCCGGTGAGTGCGGGAGGGAGGCACGGGTGAGGGCGGACGGTGGCGCCGCACGCATGGGGGAGATGGGCGAGATGAGGTAGGGATGTCAGAGCGATGAGGTAGGGATGTCAGAGCGATGAGGTAGGGATGTCAGAGCGATGAGGTAGGGATGTCAGAGCGATGAGGTAGGGATGTCAGAGCGATGTGGTAGGGATGTCAGAGCGATGAGGGAGGCACGGGTGAGGGCGGGTGAGGGGGGATGAGGGCGATGAGGCAGGGATGAGGGCGGGAGGAGGTAAGGGATGAGGTGTAGAGGAGGCATAGAGGATGGAGGGATGGGGAATGTGGGACATGGTGTGGGGCTGGGCAGGTGTAGAGGAGACGGAATGAAGGAATGAGGCATTCAGAAGCTGCTTCACACGACACGTGGAAGTGAGGACCGCCGGACAGGCAGAAAACGAGAGAGGGAGGGAGCGAGGGTAAAGGAAAGACAGAAGGGACAAAGGATAAACACGGAAAGAGGCAGGGGCCCAGGGGGTGCAAGAGGAAGTTGGGGATGTTAGCTGTTCGCAGGAGTCCCGTGTGCTCAGCTGACCTCGTGTGCTCAACTGACCTCGTGTGCTCAACTGACCTCGTGTGCTCAACTGACCTCGTGTGCTCAACTGACCTCGTGTGCTCAACTGACCTCGTGTGCTGCACACCACCCACGGATGGATGCCTTCTTGTCTCTCAACCAGCCTACCCAGTCCCTGTGTGCGCGGGCACACACAGAGCAGCGGAGACCCATGCTATGTGTCCATCCTGTTCTTCATGTGCCTGCACCTCTCCCTCTCCATGCCCTCTCCCCTGCAGCGCTTGACAGCAGCTGCAGCTGGTGCGCATGGCGATGGTGGGGGCAGGCAAGGCGGTGGAGGGGGCAGCCAACAGTGCAGCCGTGCAGCAGCTGGCGCAGTTTGCCGTGGACGAGCACAACAAGAAGCATGTGGGGGCGGGGTTGGGGGGAGGGGGGAAGAGGGGGGGGGAAGGGGGTAAGAGGGGGCAGGTGGATTGCCAGTTCACTCGCACCCAGTTCACTCGCATATCCACCTATGTTGCACTGCCCTAGTGCTGCCGCCTGTCTTCCCACATCATCTGCCGTGCTCGTTTCTGCCGGCCTTCCTACTGCCTAAATGTGTTGCTTTTTTACCTTCCCATCTCCTACCCCCCCTCCCCCCTCTTCCCAACCCCCCCTTGCCCACGGGTGGCAGAACACGGCACTGATGCTGGAGGCAGTGGTGGGGGCGAGTGAGCAGGTGGTGGCGGGCACGCTGCACCGCATCCGCCTCACCGCGCACCAGCCCTCCGCCACCGCGCCTGTGACCACGCAGTACGAGGCAGTGGTGTGGGAGAAGCCGTGGGAGGGCTTCCGCGAGCTGCAGTCCTTTGACAAGATCGAGGGCGCCTAGGCTGCTGCTCGCTGGGGGTGTTGCTCCGGGGGTGGGTGAGCAGCACACATGCATGCCTTGAAGTGTACTGCTGGTATAGAGAATGCTGGCAAGGTAGCAGCGACTGCTCAGTGGCTCGATAGAAGTCGCAAGCACATCCAGGGGAGTGGAAGGAGCGTGCACCATTCCCTTAGCAATTGTTCTACGTTTGAAGAGGAAAGCGGGGATCACTTTTGATAGCTCAGAATGTACATACGTGCCTCATCACGACTCACGCAAGCGTGGTAGGGTGAATGATCAAATCAGTGAGTGTTGCAAATCTGCACTATGATATGATGTCATTTTGCTATCAAGGGAAGACAAATCTGCCACAAAGCAGCCCTGGTGAGAAATCAGGGAAGGCTACCATAAGAAATTGCTGAATCTGTACTCAAGGCTTCAATGTCTTCCAAGGCCCTCTTCCCTTTTTGGAATTTCCAGGTAGGATCAGATATTGTCCCTAGAAGTGCTACTCACACTCCTATCCCATGCGTCTCATCATGCCCTAAAAAATGGGATGTTAGGTTCCTGGAGCGCGTCACAAAAGCCTCGAGTCACAAAAGACGAGATACAGTGCGGTGGAAATGTTTGATACTTAGGTGTGCGAAGATAACTCTATCAACGGGAGCTAGACTACAGGCTAGGCACGGGGTTAGAGTCTCTGCATTCGTTCACTTAGTCGTTCTCTAGCACTTGTGCGTTCACTGGGCAAAACCGAAAGTGTTTTACTAGCAAAAGTTGAGAACAATGATATCAATTGGATTGGCAAGATAGACTACATCAGAAGCCTAGCATACAAGTCGACCACTAGCTCAGCACGAAGGCGACTTGCCAGCTGGTCGACCTCAAGCGTACTCAGTCGACCTGCAAGGCCGGCGTGCCAACGAGCCACCACAGGTCACCACACGTGCTCATTTGTGCGCACCTACTTTGCAGGTGCATGGTGACGGTAACGACATGCACCGCCACGCACCTTGCGCAGGTGCCAAGTCGACCACATGCCGACGGTTGCACTTGAGGAGTCCTGTTGACCACATGCCACCAAACCGCAGGTCGACATTGCCAATCTACCTGGGCAACAGTCGCAAACCTCGCAGACCTCGTCGTCCGGGTAACCTGGTCAACCAGGCAACCATGTCGACCAGGTGTGTCATCCCAGGCCCGTCAACCGCCCAGGTCGACGACCACCACATGTCGACCTCACCAGGTCGACAACTCCCCTGGTCGACCAACTCCAGGTCGACAACCCACCTGGTCGACCAACTCCAGGTCGACCAGTACACCTGTCAGCCGACCACACCCTGTCGGCTTCCCCTGGTCGGCGTCACCCAAGTCGACGCCCACCACTAGTCGACCTCCCAAGTCGACCAGCCTAAGTTGGCACCCTTGCAGTGGCCCTTGTGCAGGTCGACAAGGCCCGTCGACCAGCTCGCCCATAGTTGCAGGTCGGCTGCACTCCTGACACCCGACCCCGAGGTCGGCTCCGCCCAAGCGAGGACGGGGCCAACAACAACTCCCGTTGACACTCCCCTGCCGCGTTCACGCTTGGCCCCCCAGCCCAGACGGCAGCACTACTTGGAGAATAGCTCCTCGGCGTGCACCCAACACACGGCACGCCGGTCACCACACCAGCCATGCAAGAAGGCATGGCACCTACTGCTGCACGTCATTGTCACTGTCGCCCACGTCGACTAGGCGCACCTCGCCGATTGCAACGGAGCACCGGTTGAAGGCTGGGTAGTGCAGCGCCTTCGTCAGGAAGTCGGCTGGCTGCTCAGTACACTACTTTTGTGACGCCTTCGTCAGGAAGTCGGCTAGCTGGTCATGAGGGCCGACCGATCCAGTTTGACACGTGGCTCGACGACTTGCAGCTGTACCTACTGAGCGACTCTAGGGACAGTGTTTCGTTGTTTGACCACACGTCTGGAGCTGCTCCTGCCCCTCCCGCCACAGCTGACAGTGCGACTCGCTCACAGTGGCTTACTCGTGACGCTTCTACTTGCTTAGCCATTCGCAACCACCTCCCGTTGGCCGAATGCGCTCACTTTGGACTGCACTGGACTGCACAGGCACTGTACGACGCTGTAGTCGCCCGTTACTCCTCGCCTGCCACTGCTGCTCTAGGCCGTCTTCTCCTACCCTACCTGTTGCCCGAGCTGTCCGCCTTTGCCACGGTAGAGGACCTCATTTCCCACCTCCGCACTAGCGACGCTCACTACCGCGCTGCCCTCCCAGCAGAGTTCCTTGACAGGAACCCGCCCCCAATGTACATCACTCTCTACTTTATAGTCACCCGCCTCCCTGACTCTCTTCGCGCTGTCAGGGACCACTTTCTCGCGCTTGACCCCACAGCTCTCACTGTTGACCTACTGGAGCAGCACCTCCTTGTAGCTGAGACTAGTGTAGTCACTGCAGGTGCTGCTCGTGGCACTCCTCGCACACCCTTCTTTGAGGGGTGTTCCCCCTCCCCCCATCCCCCCTCCTACGCCTCTGCTGCTGCTGTTGACGTCCTTGGTGCTGAGGATGTCGGAGCTGCTTCCGCTAGTGGGAAGCGCCACAGCAGCAAGGGCAAGGGTGGCAGGGGTGGTGGAGGTGGCAGCGGGGGTGGTGGTGGGGGCAGAAGTGGAGGTGGTGGAGGCAGTGGAGGTGGTGGCAGTGGTAGGAGTGCTGGCGGGAGTGGGGGCGTTGGTGGCGGCGGTGGATGCAACGGTGGGAGTGGCGGTAGTGGCAGCGGTGGGAGTGGTGGCGGTAGGACTCGAGCTCAGCGTGGAGGCTCTGGTGGTGGCCAGAGGCAGCAGCAGCAGCGTCAAAGCGAGACCCCGTCAACCCAGCAGCTTCGTAAGTGGTTGTTTCAGCGTGGGGCGTCTGGGGGTAGTGATAGCTGCCCGTATGTCATTCGCACGGGTGACCGTGCTGGTCAGACATGCAGGAAGCTTCACACTCAGCACCACTACTTCTCCCGCCTCGACGATGCTTGGCGCGCAGAGTTTGGTGACGAGGCTGAGCACCCCCCTGGGCAGAGCTGCTTAGGACTGGAGTTGTTATCTTTGACCTAGACTTTGATGCTATCCTTGCTGCTATGTATGCTTTGTCTGCTAGTGCTGAGGGTGACTGTTATGTGTGTGTGCCGCCTGACCCAGGTATAGAGGCTGCTGCTCTAGGTGCTAGTGAGTCTGTTCTCCCTTGTACTGCGCCTGCTGAGGCCTTGCACACCTTCACACTTGACTCAGGTGCCTCATGCTGTTTCTTTTGCGACAGCACCACCCTCACTCCTCTCTTTGCACATGTACCGGTCAGGCTGGCTGACCCCTCCGGGGGCCCAATCCTCGCCCGTTCCTCTACTGTCCTCCCGCGTCTGGCAGTTCCGTCCGGCTCAATGTCGGGCCTTCACCTTCCCTCGTTCTCTACGAACTTGGTGAGTACCGCTGCCCTCCAGGACGCAATGGTCACTACCACCACTCCTAAGGGTCAGCGTGTGTCGATCTGCACGTGTACACGGACGGGGCGTCATCTGGCCACGTTCACTCGTCGACCAGGGTCGAGTCTGTACACACTGTCTACCGAGCCTCCTCAGGTAGCTGCATGTGCTCAGGTGTCCGCGTCAGGTCAGGTCGCACCCCCTTGCTCGTGTCGCCTCTTGTCACACCAGACCCTTCTGTGGCACCACCGCCTCGGTCACCCCTCCCTGCCATGCCTTCGTGGCATGCACTCCCGCCTCCTTGTCTCTGGTCTTCCCAGGTCTCTGCCTCCCCTCCCGCCCTCGCCTGCCCCGCCCTGCCTTCCTTGCGTTGAGGGGCGGCAGCGCGCCGCTCCTCACTCATCCTCGTTTCCCCCGACGACTGCTCCCCTGCAGACTCTCCACATGGACGTGTGGGGCCCAGCCCGCGTTAGTGGACTGGGCCGCGAGCGCTACTTTCTGCTGGTTGTTGACGACTTAACGTGGTACACCACGGTCTTCCCCTTGCACAGCAAGGGCCAGGTCGTTGATGTCTTGATCCCTTGGATCCGCACTGTCTGTCTCCAGCTTCGCGAGCGGTTCCGTACGGACTTTCCTGTCCTGCGTCTGCACTCTGACAGAGGTGGTGAGTTCTCCTCCGACCTCTTGCAGGACTTTTGTCGTGGGGAGGGCATTCTCCAGTCGTTCACGCTTCCGGACTCCCCTCAGCAAAATGGGATTGCTGAGCGCCGCATTGGCCTAGTCATGGAGGTCGCTCATACCTCCATGATCCATGCGGCTGCTCCCCATTTTCTGTGGCCGTTTGCGGTCCGGTACGCTGCGCATCAGCTCAACCTCTGGCCCCGTGTCTCCTTGCCGGAGACCTCGCCTACATTGAGTTGGACGGGGAAGGTTGGCGATGCGTCGGTGTTCCGGGTCTGGGGTTCTCGTGCCTTTGTTCGCGATAGGTCCGCGGACAAGCTCTCCGCCCGCGCTATTCCCTGCGTCTTCCTTGGCTTTTCCCCTGACGCGCCTAGCTGGCAGTTTTACCACCCCACCTCGCGCCGTGTCTTCCCTTCTCAAGACGTCACGTTTGACGAGTCGGTTCCCTTTTACCGGCTCTTCCCCTTCTGCTCTGCCCCTCCCCCACCCCCACAGCTCTTCCTTGCTCCAGGTCCCCCTCCGGTAGACCCCCTTCCCCCCCAAGGTCCTACTCCCTCAGGTGTGTCTCAGGTAGACCCTCTCCCTGTTACTGTGCCTGTTGAGGTAGCTGTCGACTCAAGTGCTGCTCGAGGTGCTGCGTCTGGGGGTGCTGCGTCTGGGGGTGCGGAGCCTGGGGGTGCTGAGTCTGAGGGTGCCGGGTGTGGGGGTGCTGAGCCTGGGGGTGCGGAGCCTGGGGGTGCTGAGCTTGAGGGTGTGGAGCCTGGGGGTGCTGAGTCTGGGGGTGTTGAGCCTCGAGGTACTGACTCTTCTGGAGGCCCTGTGGGTGCTTCGCCATGACTGTCTCCCCTGCCGGAGCCTCTCTCCCTGCAGCAGCAGCGCGAGT